TCTCGTTTTAACTTTTGTAAAGATATGTCATTCTCCTACATTAATACTTTATATATATATATAGGGAGGAGGAGAGGGGTAAATGGGTGTAATTACTCCACCCCACTGAAAGAAAATTAGTATAAAATTTGATGTATCATTGAAAAAAATGCTTGCAACTATGTCGCTATCACAACAGCAGTTTTATTTGTTTTATATATAAATCTATTATTTTGTAACTTTTCAGTAGCATGTTTTTTCACAAATATTTGTTAACCATTTTTAAAAAAATTTATTGTTGATATTATAAATATTAGAATTATTACTTTATATATTATCTACCCATTGATCATGTTTGTGTATTTCTCAAATTGTAGTTAATAAATAATATTGAAGTTTATTTGGTTTACGTATGAAGTTCTTAATCGTGCCTTGCATATAACACAGGCTTTTTTGAAAATAAAATTCTGCACTCCGATGAAATTAATCTCATGACGTATTTCAAGAACACTGATAATGTGATTCCTGTTTTGAGAAACAAGAACCTGGGAAATGAGAAGCTAAATTATTTGTCTTTGATTGTTAGTAAAGTTTTGGAATCTGTTGTGAAAAATCATTTACAAAGGAATTGGAAAATTTGTCAGTATAACTTTAAGAAAGAGATTTCTTCTTTGAAAAATTGTTTTTTTAGGATGACAGCATTGCTTTCCAAGATTTTTTAATTTTTGATAGGACATGTTCATAATGTATTAATAATAAAGTTTAATACTTGATTCTATTAAAAATGCATGTATTGAGACAGCATGAGACTGAAGAGGATACACAAAAATAGTTTCTTCAATATCAGGATAGTTTGTTACATTTAATGTGGTTTTTGACTAACTGCTACACGTAGCATTGTATTCTTTTATTACTGTGCATATACTGTGCAGTAAAAGAGTCTTAGTTATTGAGCCTGTATGTGTAAATGAGTTAATGTTGAGAAGTATGAAATGATCAATTACAGTAGAGATTTCTCGTGTGTGGGAGGATGATGATATTGTGGAATGACATAGGTGTGACTGTTGTTAAAAATTAAAATCTTTTGCTGAATGTTTAGTTGTGGTGAAAAAAGAGCTCTTTTACTTTATTTATAAATACAAATTTCAAATTTAAGAACAATGATTACTGTGACCTGTACAAGATTGGTGAGGCTTGTTAAAAATATAGTGTGCAATTTTGGTTTCTTTACTTCAGGAAGAATATTAATGAGTTGGTAAGGCTGAAAAGATGGGGCTTTACAATAACATGTACATCTAAGTTCCAGGGTCAGGCTTAAAATAACTGTTCTTTGGATTACAGAAAATTTAGATGTGTTCTCATTCATTTGCAGGAAACTGGTTGGTTGGTTGTTTGGTGTTTTATGATCCAAAGCAACTAGGCTATCTGCGCCAAACAACCGGTAAAAACGGTAACAGTAACATTGTAGTAAAATGTAAAAATAAATTGAGTTAAAACCAAAATATGTTCAAAATACAGAAAAAAAATAATTAAATAGAATCAAAAAGACTAATTGTTCTTAAAATTTTTTGAATACTATAAAGTGGGACAGTGTCACCATTGCCAATGACACTGTACTTACAAAACATGGGTCTAAAATGGTGCCGCCACTCATGGTCGTAATGACGGCACGACAGTAAAATGTGGGCTATTGTGACTTAGTTTCACAAAAGCTTGCTGACACCGCAGCCAAGTCCATCTGCTCTAGAACTGTCATGCTCGTGCCAGTCCTGTATTGAAGATGCTGCTTCTCACCAGTTGGCAGTCACTTTAGGGTGAGCAACGTTATAACAAGCTTTTCCAGATCAAACCTTCTATTGCTCTATGGCCATCTTGTTTCCGTAAGGATGAGGTTGTCCTGGAAAGGCTATACATTGGTCACAGTTTTTTAACTCGTCGTTTTTTTTTATCTGATACTGACACTGGTGTAGCCGGGTAGTTGCTCGCAGGATTCCCTCTACAGTTTCTGTGTTCACTGCCAAGTTGTATGCTATTTCTCTTGCTGTGGATCATGTAGAAGCTATGTAGTACAGCAATTTTAGTATTTACACTGATTCTCTTAACTCTCTACTGGTCTTGGAATCGCTTGA